TATTTGGGACCTCCACATAACTAAGTAAGCTGCTCTTTGTCTTTGTAACAGTTCATGCGTTTATGTGAAAGTTCTCAATACATTGAAGATTGTTACAGCTGTGATGTTTGATGCGTTTTTGGTTCTGAACTTTTTTTTACATTAATTTTGGATCTAGAATTTGTTTGTAGAGGAAGCTTTTAGTAATCCCATTTTTGGTGGTTTTGATAGCCAAATAGTTCTTGTTGCGTACATTAATGGTTCATCTTATTGGTATCCTTTCTGTTGATTTTCTGTATCAAACTGTGACTTACTGGCACTGGGTGTTTTGAGGTTTGTGGTGCGTTTTGGAGTCCATTGGCTGGCTAATTGGGCTAGGAGGTTATCTGCATATGATGTATAAAATTTAGTTCATGATTTGGTGGTCAAACAACTACATCTTTGTGCTGAAAGCCTTTATTCACCATGGGACCCAGTCATTCAGTTATTTTCTTTATTATATTCCATGTGTGTAAATAGTTAAGCCACATATCCACTACGAAAGGTTTCTTATCTTTCCTTTTCAGTAAATGGTTGGTTTCTAGAGGATAACCAAGTGACAATGCCAACCTTTTTATTTTTTATTTGTTTTACAAATAATATGGATGGTTTGCATTTAGGATTTTTACGAATTATAGCATTCGGGAATAAGTGAGGATTCGTTTGGGTAACTGATAAATAGTAACTTGGAAACATCTCGACTTCAGACATTTTGGATATTTATGAACTTTAGATAGTTCTGTTCCATTAATTTATTGAAATCAATGTGTTTAAGTTGGCCAGGAAGTTGTTTCATATGAGATATAGGTATCAATCTTCTTTCTTGGGCTGTTTGTTGCAGGTTCTTCGCTCTCAAGTATGCTGCAGATGCTGCCTGCACTGTTCTACGGGTGGATCAGGTAACTAGTAACTACATATTTGTCAATGGTTTTCCTAATTTTGAAGTACTCAAATTTGGTATGAACTACATCTTTAAATCCCTAATTGCTCTTTGAGGCCAAAGCAGAAAAAATGCTAAACTACATACAGTTTAAAAAAAAGGTCGAGGCTTTATGAATTAGTTGACTATTCTTTTTATTTATTTATTTAATTTTATGCTTTTTGTGAAGTCTTTTTGTCTTTTATTTTGTTTTTAAGAACGGTAGCAAATGTTAGTTTCTAACTTGGAAAAATAAAATAAAATTGAAAGTTACTTTTGGGAAATGTTGAACTTTTATAATGAATATGGCTTCAGTGCAGAAGGCTTGATAGTAAATAGAAAATCTATATGCTGGGGGTTTTCTGGCTGGCTAAAAATGTGTGAGAAATGATGAATCTATCTGATTGCAGCCTATTTAATGTTTAATACCTTCATGAAAAAAAAGGGTTGTTGACAATGCTTTGACTATCTTGCAGATTATAATGGCAAAACCAGCAGGTGGCCCTAGTAAGAGAGATCAGCCTGCAGGGATGGATGAGGACTAATTTTGTGTGTATGACAATTGACTATCTTTGCTTGTGTTAGGGATCTTTTGTTCCATTTTAGTAACAATTTTGTTTAGGAGAAAAAGAAACTTATTGCAGTTCATGCTTTGTAAATGCTACTTTTCTGTTACAATGGACACATGGTATGCCCTTGTTGGGTAGGTTTGGATTGAAACGATGATCGGGTGCTTGAGCCATGTTTATTGAGAAGCTTGAATGTATTTTCTTTTCTGTTGTATTTGGCCCTTCTCTTTTCAAGCATGCCAGAACTCATCCTGGTTTTGTAATATGTGGTTTGTGCTCAATTATGGTTAAGGTTAATGCTTGGCATACTTTCACTAATTAATTTACTGTGGATGGTACTTGCATTTTTGTAACCAATATTTGATAGCTGCCTTCTTTTGAATCAAGATTCATTGAGGGAGAGAATTACTTCCCTTTTGAATACGAATCGATGTGCAACTCCAACTATCATTTGAAAGGTCAACATCAATTCATGCTAATATAAGGATGGATAACAATTGTCGTGTCCGTGAGATTTGAATTCAGGATTACTTTCAACAAAGTGGAGATTGTTATTAGACCAAATGGCCGTTGACATATGAGGTTTGGAGGTTTTTAGGCCATCTCCAGCCATGGGCTATATCCTAAATATAGCCCTAAATTAATGCAAAACCCATCTCCAGCCATGGGCTAAATTAAATTTTGGCCAAATTTGGAGGGCTACATTTGGCCCTTTAGCCTTCTAATAATCGGGTCAAATGTAGCCCAGCTTTGGCCTAGGCCAAATTCATAGTGGACCCCACCATGTGCTTTTCAATCACCAAATATTAAAGCACTCCCCCACTTGCCTTATTAAAAGCTGGATATATATATGGAGTTTTAAAAGCTGTTTGAATGTTTCTTGTTGGCAATGACTGTTGGAATCCATACCTACCCACTCCCTTTTTTTAATTTTTTTATAAAGGGAATATTGCTCTTAATACGTGTCATATATGGAATATTGTCTCTAGTTGTAGAATGTATAGTTGTGGAATGTATGAGTGTTTAATTAAATTAAACAATATATATTTGTGGAATGTATAGTTGTGGAAAATAGTAGTTTAATTAAATTAAACAATATATAGTTGTGGAATGTATGGGTGTTGTACCATAGTTTTTCTCAAAATAATAAAATATGAAGGACCCTAAAATATAGCCCTGTATGGCTGGAGATGGAAAAATTTAGCCCTGCACTACTCTTTAAAAAATTAATATTTTGAGGGGCTAAATTTTTAGCCCCAGACTACATTTAGCCATATGACTGAAGATGGCCTTATGTGAAGATGTATGCTTGTAATTCCTACCTTATTCTGTAATATTTACCCTCATTAATCCTAAAAAATTTTGGGGTTTGAAGGGAGGTCTTATGACAGGGAGGGTGAGAGTCGAATTCTCGTCATGGATACGAAGGATATAAGTGGTAATTCTTGTCATTGCTATGAAAGGGTACAAAGGATAAGTGCTCTACTGCGAAAGTTACACACTTACCAAGTTAATCCAGATATTTGGCGGGCTTAAAGTTGGCCAAGAAATTTTTGTGAACTTTGAAAAGATGGGCGCAGGAGAAAAAGTGGTCGCATAAGTCCAAAGTATATATCCAGACAAAACAGTTGGGCAAATAAGGATGAGCCTAGCAGACTAGTGACTAATGTGTGTGGAAGCTGTCAAAAGCTTCTTCATTCTCTCTATCTCATGGCTTCTCTTCTTTCCTTCTCTGTTCCCAATTCAAAGATGATAAGAGCTTCTTCTTCTTCACAGGCTGTTTCTGCACCGATGGTTTCTGTGCCGGAGAACCTTACTGAAAAATTTGGGAGAAAAGGCATCAAGTTCTTGGAGTCTGATAACATCCCCATTGTTGAACTCACAGTCAGAAATGGCAGTTCATTAAGGCTTCAAATACCCAATGCTCATGTGACTTCATACAAGCCAAAGGTGTACTGGAAGGACGACGGCTTCCAAGAAGTTCTTTACACAATTCCAGGAAATGGAACTGATGCTAATTCTACCAAAGCCAAGGGAGGAATTGGTTTGGTCTTGAATGATGTATCAGAAGCAGGCTCCAAAGGCTCACTTGTTTCCACTTCTGAATGGACAGTAAAAGATGTTGATTCCGATTCCATCGATGCTCTCCAGGTATTTTTTTTTTTCGTTCTTTCTTTCTTTTGGTTCCATTTGAAACAAACAAAAATACAGAGACATCAAAAGTTTAAATGACCAAAACCTTAGTTTTTAGAAATACATAAGATTTTGATCATGAAATTACCAAAACAATGCACAGATACAAAACTAGAGAGCCTAGAATATATTGAAATGATGAAATTTGAGGACATAGTTTTTGTTTCCTTGGTTTTCCATTGATTTGGCACTTAGATTTGTTGCAGGTTGAATTAAGCAGCGCTAGTGGAACACTTGACATAACCTATGTCGTCAGTTTATATCCGGTAAGCATGGCAACGGCTGTTATTGTGAGAAACAAAGGCCGGAAGCCGGTGACTCTGACCAATGCCATACTCAGCCATTTCAAGTTCAAAAGACGAAGCGGGGCGGCGATCCAAGGTCTCAAGGGATGTGCTTACACTGCACTCCCTCCACTGTCTTCTCCTTTTGAGATTTTGTCTCCTGCTGAAGCAATGAAAGCTGACACTCCAGGGTGGTTCGATTTTGGTTCTCAGCCTGAAGAAAAGCCAGGTTCTTGGACTCACCAAGATGTGCCTTTCACCATTTTGAAAAACAAGCTCAGCAGGGTTTATGCTGCCCCTCCTAAAGAGAGACTGAAGCCAATTTATAACACCCCACCTTCCAAATATGAAACACTGGATCAGGTAACCATTCTTTGTTAAATATTCTTAATCTAACTCCTAATCAACAAAAATATATCCGGTGATGATCCGTCTATTCAAATCTCATGAACAAGAGTTTGATGTGTCGTTAAATAAATAAAAAAATTCAGCAAAACATAAGGAATGAATAATTGAGTCTTGCCAGATGTAAAATCAAAAATTGTAATTAGTTGCCAGTTTTTTATGGGATTGCGTGACTTGGAATCATGACCTCACCTAATCAATAGTTCAGATTCACTGTCCGACGAGGAAAATTACCAATGACATTAGTTCTTGTACATATTTATATACACATAATGAATTTGTGTTTTTTCCAACTTATTGGTTTGTGAATTTCAGGGGCGTGAGCTCTTCTATAGGGTGATACGCATGGGATTTGAGGATATCTACTTATCCAGCCCTGGTTCTTTCTATGAGAAACATGGGGAGGAGTATTTTATATGCACTGGCCCTGCTTCAATGCTGGTACCTGTGGTTGTCAAGCCTGGTGAGGATTGGAGAGGTGCACAAGTTATTGAACATGATAATTTGTCGTAAATATTTTTCTTTCCCTTTTTTCCTTTTTTTTTTGTTCTAAATATCTGTAGAGCAAGGTCTGGTCTTTTTTTTCTTTTTTTTTTTCTTCTTCTTCTACTAGTTTGATCACCTGGTACGCATGTGACACCAAATATTTTTCCTACCATTGATTTCGTTCATCACAATGGCACACTGATGTATTGTTAATCGTATTGACTTCATCCTATGGATAGTCAACACAACTAATGATCCATATTTACCTGCAATATTGGAAACAAAGAAAAGGAATCTCATGGCAAACCAAAGGTCTCAGGTTCAAACCCTCATGGAATCTTAGTTGTGTGTATGTGAGAAACTCCCTTCCCTCGTAGTTTAGACTATCGCTTGTACTCAAAAGAAAAGAAAAGGATACTTTCAGATGTTGAGAGTGGAACCTAGTTTAAGGCTTTATCAATTAGAAGTTGGTACATGGGACTTCATTACTTTTTATTAAAATTGATCTAAATTGTTGTGCAAATTTTCTCTGCTATGTATTCTGTACGATAAATGTATCTTATATTCTCAATCAATACTTCGCTTTTACTAATTAAATAGAGTTTGTTCAAAGGTTCATGACATAGAGGTCCATGCCAACTTTCTAAATGGCACACAAAACCTTGATAATTTTTTCTTGTTGGAATACGAACAATAGTCTAAACCTAATGCAACAACACTATTTCTTGCAGCAACACTTATCCACTCTGATGTACTCTACTTCTTCATCATTATAAGGTTTGTACGTAATAGATCTCTACAACTCAAACCAAAATACATATTAAAAAAATCACAGGAAGTTCAAACACATCTCTTGCACACTATAGTAAGATTAGATCTGAAAAAGGCTAAATAAAAGCGTGATGATACGTGAACCAAATTAAGATAGGGAGATATGAAAAGATGCACAAAGAGAGATGAAAAGGAAAACTAGATATAGAACTTGACGTAAATCTTAAAAAAGAAAAATGATTGGAGAGAGAGAGAGAGAGAGAGAGAGAGATAGATGGCATAGAAACATTATATATCTAAAGGAAAAAAAAGAAAGAATGGAGAGATATCAGGCCAAAAAATTATGGGGAGTTATCTGAAGAATGAGATAGAAAAGAAAGAAAAAGAAGTAGGAGATAGAGGGAGAGAGAGAGGTAAGAAAGAAAAGAAAGAGGTGTGACACATATAAGTAGGGGTGGGCACGATCCGGTTTATTCCTCGAATTGGAACTAAAATCAAAACTTACGTATACGGTCTGGTTCAGTTCAATTTTCATATAAAGTGTCTAGAGGAATTGAACTGGACCGACAATTTATCCTCTCGAATTGGAACTAAAATCGAAACTTACACACAATCTGATTCAATTTGATTTCATACAAAGTGCTTGAGTAACCGAACCAAATCAAACTTATACGGTTTCAGTTTGGTTTGGCCGGTTTGCGGTTTGGAAGAAGAGAAAAGAGGAAGATGTGTAGAAGAGAGAAATAAGAAGAAGAGAGAAGTAGAAAGAAGGGAGAAATAGGAAAAAGAGAAAATATGAAAAGGAGAGAAAGAATGAGGCGTAACAAGAAGAATGAGTATGATTCACCAAAAAGAAAAAGAAGTAGTGCTAGAGTTGTTATTTAGTGAGGTATAAATTGGGACTAAGCCAGTTGTGTATTAATTGGAATTAAGTATCTTCATATTACTTGGGGTTACTAATGTGATTTGAATATTAATTTGGCTTACTAATAAATTTGGATATAAATGAATTAGTAAACTTAACATAACCCGTCCGATTCAATTTAGACTAATTTTTCCAAGGCAAGAACCTAGATGGGAACTGATCCAAACTATCATGTTCAATTTTTGTGCCTCGGTTGACTTTTTTGGTCAACATAATTTTTCTTTTTGGGTTTTTTTTTCAACTTGATTCAGCTCGATTTATCGGTTTAAATGAGGTTCACATGGGCTTAGCACTTTACTAAGGGTGGGCATTTGAACTAATGAACCGAACCAAATCGATATGGAAAAAAAACCAGGAAAATTAGTTTTGGCTTAAAGTTGTTCGTTTCTCAATTTTTACCACTTAAAAACCAAACCGGATTGATTATATGATGTTGTCACATATATTGATAATATAAATCATTTTTCTTACGAATTTAACACCAAAATTGTAGTATCCTCATCTCTCTTAGCCTTCCTTGTCTCCCTCATCATGGTCTCACCATCTTTTATCTTCATCACGATGTCAACCTCCTCATCCCTCCCCGTCTCATATCCACGCCTCTAATGCCATCATCCACTATCTTTTTGTTGTTTTGCTTTGAATTCATTGATGGATTAGTGTAAGAGAGTTGAGTTTTATTTTTGAGCTTCAAGTGATGATGCCCAACCAAAAAAATAAATTCAATGCAAAGGTAGGGTATGTTAACACTCACGGTCTCATAGGGTACAATGACCATCACATTGAAGTTGGTTCTTTGAGAGCTCTTGAAGGACATGCATTTATTGACCTAGAAGTGGAGGATTTTGGCCTCAGAGATAATTAGCGGCCACATGGATGATTGAAGTTGATTCTTGATCTTGAGAAATTGAATCTAAGGTTTTCTAGACAAGTTGAATTTAGTGTGTGGGATTAGCAGAGGTAGGAAAACATTAGTAGAGATTAGAGGCGCATATTGGTAGGAGTATGAATAGGCATGGTTCAAACTAGTGTTGGGCTCGGTCTGGGTTGGTTCGATTTTGGGCCCAACCTGGACACCGAACCGTAGGTGTCAGTGTGGCTATTATATATGGAAATCGGAACCAAACCATAGCTGGTCTAAACCAGTGACTCTGGTTAACCGAACTTATTGGTTTGGTTTGGTTTAGTTTGGGTTTTTGGGCTTTCTTAGAAATTGCCCAAATTTCACACAAAATACATTTATGAGCCCAATTCAAAGCACATAAACATGTACATGAATTCAAAGCATATAAAGCTGTACATATTCAAAGCATTTTTTAGCCCAAAATCATATGTTAAAAACTGTACAGCAGCGTCATCATCATCATATATTCAATATCCATCATTACACATTAATCCTCAAATATCATAAATGACAAACATCACACATGAATTTAACACATTACAATCCATCATCGCACAAATGACAAACATCAAACATCAATTTAACAAATTCAACACAACATGAAAGATAGATATTAGTATATCACAAGTTTCAACAATTAACAATCAAAGCAACAACATTAGAAATTACAAAGCATCCAAGCAACATAAATTAAAAAAGATTGGTGTAGCAGCCGCTGCCATCTTGTTTCTTCAATCAATCCATGGGAATGAGAGTGTCACTAAGAGGTTGTCCATTTAATTGAAATGATTCAACTTCTGCAAGAACATAAAACATAAAATAAATTAATGTTTACAAAGTTAAAATACACAAATTAAAACTAAAAACAATAACAATACCAAACCCTTACCTTTTTCCAGTTTCTCCTAAGTTAGGTACAACTCCAATTCATCTTCAGTGGGCTCCTTGTTGAAGTCAAAACCCTCACTTCTCAACCAATCATTTGTGCATATAAGGGCTTCAACTGTTTTGGGAGTCAAACAAGCCCGAAAAGGATCCACAACCTTTTTTCTAGCACTAAAGGCGGATTCTGAATGCACACTCGAAATGGAAACAACAAATATGTCCTTTGCAACCTTGGACATGATTGGAAACCTTGGAGAGTGTTCTTTCCACCAGCCCAATAAATTAAACTTTAAATTTTTTAGATTCTCAGCAGGCTCCAATAAGTATTTATCAACTTTGTTCCCAATTTGTACCACATCTTTATCTTTTCTTGATCTCATAAATTGCTCAAGCATTGGATCACTCTCAACACTTTGATCCGGCTCACTCTCTGTGATTTCTTCCACATAAGAGTGGTAAATAGATGGGTTCTCTTTCTTGTACTCCTCATACAAATGCATTAAAACCTTCTTTACCTCAACTATTATCTCATCAACTTTGGATTCATCTATTTCCAAAAAAAAAAAGGAAGGTTAAACTGAACATAGTCAATTTTGTACCTTGGATCAAGTACAACCAGTATTATAAGCTTGTTCATACCCCTAATTTGTCCCCAATACTTGGCGTACTTCTTTTTCATTGAAGTTGCTACCCTTTTCATAAAAGGGTCTTGGCTTTGCATCATTCCATTCAACCCATTCACAATTTTAGCCATCGCATGGAAGGGTGCATTGGCAGTGACCATCTTAGAAGCTCTAAACTTTAATGTGGCATCGTAAAATCTTTTCAAGAAAGTAACAAAGTCCCTTGCATAATGCCAATCCTTCACTGTTGGAGGTCTCACCCTTGTCTTCGAGCTTGCTTCCCCTCCAAACCTTCTTTTGTTTTGTTTTGGTATTTCATCCTTGTTAACGTCATTAAAGTAAGCTTCACAGTTAGCATCCTCCAATGCCAACCTATCAAAACCTTTTTGCAACTTCAAGGCAGCGTCTAACATCAAGTATGTGGAATTCCATCTTGTTTTACATTCCAAAGTTAGTAAACTCTTGCTACCAATCTTGGCCAAAAATAAACATTGCCTAAACTTTTCTGACCGGGATGGTAAGGATCTTGTATACCTACATGCTTTGCGAATACTCTTAATTGTGTCATGCAATTCAAACACCCCATCAAAGACAATCAAGTTGGTTATGTGAGCACAACACCTCATATGTAACATTTCCCCATCACACAAAAGTGTATTCCAATCATTTAAATGGCTCTTAATATACCTAACAGCACCATCATTAGCACTTGCACTGTCAACTGTGATACTAAACACCTTTTCTATTCCCCAATCTGCAAAACACTTCTCTATTAGTCTCCTAATGGCTTCACCCTTATGGTTTGAAATTTGACAAAAATTTAGGATTCTTTTATGCAAATTCCAACCATCATCAATGAAATGGGCAGTGAGAGCCATATAATTCACATTTTGAATAGAAGTCCAAGTGTCAGTAGTAAGAGACACTCTTTGTGAATTTACACTCAAGATACTCTTTAGTTTGGCCTTTTCCTCTTGAAAGATTGACCATACATCTCTAGCAATGGTCCTACGAGACAGTGGATCGAATCTAGGTTGTGCCTCTCTCATAAAGTACTTAAACCCTAACCCTTAAACAAATTTAAAAGGCAACATCAATTATTATCATCTTTGCAAAGCAATTCTAGTTCTCTCCTTGCTAAATCCATGTGCAACTAGGCCTCCTTTGTTCTCAAATCAAAGAACTTTTTGTTTGTTATCATCTTTCAATGGTGAACCCCCCTTGTATTGGACCTTCAAATGTTGCATTAAAGTAGATGTGCAAGAAGCCCTAGGCCCTACATCACTGCCCGTTTGATCTGGTTCCTTAGTAAATTGCTTCCATACCTTAGATGGTTTCCTAACAAGTTATCTCTTAGGAGGAAGTGAGGGGAGGGGGACATTAGGTGATTCCCCTTTTAATGTTTGGGCATCATCAGGATGAGGAGTCTCAATTGGGGTGAGAGGTGTGTTAATGGTAAGATTCTGTGAAATACCTTCTAGACTGGCCAACATTTTTAGTGCTATAACATAAACTGGCCTTAATATACCTCCCACCACCTAATGCATAACTAAACACATAACACAGCCAGTAGTAGCAATGATTCAACAACTAAACACAACATCAGCAGCAGTAGCAAGGATTCAACAACTAAACACAACAACAGCAGAAGCAAGCAATTGAATCAATAAGTGCGCATCACACTAACCTTTAAGCAAGCACATCAAAGAAATTGATCATTCTCCAAATGTGCAACACATTACCTGACTGCAATTTAAAATTGAAACCAAAATTAGAAAACATTTAAATAACATGCTTATATATAATAGAATTGAACCAAAAAACCAAAAAAACCAAAGCCAAATAATTGATGCAAAAAACAATTAACCAAAACCAAGTAACATTCTTAGATAACATATAGATAGCAATCTAACATATAAATGATGCTAAAATCAGAAAACATATATGAGAGTTTGAAAAAATTACCTCAGATAAGTCATCAGTGTAGATATCTTCCTTTTCAATGAGAGATGAGAGCTAAGAGATGGTTTCATTCGATGAGATGAGATGGTGAGAGTAAGGGATGCTGAGAGAGAACTGAGATATGAGAGATGGTGACGGCGATAGAAGAGGCGACGAGGAGGGAAAATGCGCCAGCGAGGGAAGAAACAATGTGGGAAGAGGCGGAGAACATTAGGGGAAATGGATGAGTTTTCATTCTATGGGAGAAATTAGGGCTAAGTCAAGAGAGTGACTGAGGGAAGGAATTCTTTGTGATGCGGTCTATAGGTTCTACACCAATAACAAATAAACGCTTAACACATGTACAAATGCTACAGTACCAGTCCGGTTCGGTTAAACCGATAGTTTTGAATATTACAAATTGGGACTGAACCATACAAAAATTGAAAAAACCCAAACCAACCCGAATCGTCGATTCGGTTTTGCTGATTTTATTGGGTTTCTGGTTTGGATGCCCAGCCCTAGTTCAAACCTCAACCCGAGTTGGACTCAAATGGGCCGGGTTGATGGGATTAAAATTAAAATGTTTATAATATATGCTATGAGGTAGACCTCTGAAATGGATCGAATTTAGGTCAAATTTGGCATATTTCATATATGATAAGTTTATTAATCGAATTATTGATTTTGGATCATATTTTTAGATTATCGGATTTAACTTATCAATTCATATATGAGAAGAATTAGATTCAGCTCGGATCTGGTTATCAAATTTACTTTAAGACTTATACAAAAACTAAAATCTCATTAGCAATATTCTTCTTTTTATTGCATTTATGCACTTTTCTCTTTTAATTTTTATTTCTTACAATAAGTTATAGTTTCAATATATCTTTAATACGATGATGGGCAAGATACCAGTTACGAGGGGAAATTTTGAAAAATAACCACATTTTGAATCATCTAAAGACATGTAGGGTATATGATGTAGCTAAACATTTCATAGTGTTAGAATTCTCAAATTTGAGGTTAGACTTAAATGCCCTTAAATGACTTCATTCTCCAAATCATGGAGATTTGGAAAAGTAGCATCCTTTTTTAACACTTTTAAAAAATAAAAAAAAATTTAGACACTCTAGTGGTTAAGTTCGATTTAGGGTCATAATTCAGAGGATAAAATAGCAGAGATCCATAAAAACAACTGTGAAAAAGAATAGAAATACAAAGAATTTTTTTAAACAAAATTAATATAAAGTTAATTGATTAAAAACCAAAAATAGGATTAAGAAGTATAGAAAAATTAAAATTTGTTGAAAACCCAATCGTACGCACAGCTAGAGGTGTCAAATTGGCCGAGCCAGGCCAACCCATCCCATTTAAACTTGTACTTTTAAAATTTTAGTTTCGAGCCGGGTCGGCCCATTTAATTTATCAGGCCGTACCGTGCCGGCCCATTTAGAAAAATCATTGATCCCTGCTCGGCCCAAAGCCCATGTTCACATTGAAACGGGCCGGGCCAAGCTCGTGTCGTGCCCGTGCCCGTGCTCGTGCTCGTACTGTACTCGGGCCCAAGAACCAACCCATTTAATTTGATTTTTTTTCCCACTAGATAATTCAAACTTTAAACATTAAAAATGTAATTAGAGACCAGAAATGATGAACTATTTGAAAACATTAATCAATCAAACATCCAAACAATATGAAAGGGCGGAGGGTAAAAAGTGTCCAACTCCACAAAGTCGACTTCAACTTTTCAGCTTTAAACAACTTATTATTTTATATGTGAAGAAACGTCTTACTTTGTATTGAGGTCCAAAAAATCCAAGGCTGGGCCCAAATATATTTCTAGCCCAATACGAAACCTAACTAGGGAGGAAACCCGACTTGGGTACGAAAGAGTTTGTCATGTGCGCTTGCACGAGTTATGGTCCACATGCCACGCCAAGCAAATACATAACCCGCCACGTAGAAAGGTTCTGACAAGCCCGTAAAATGTACTGGCTCTACCATGCTTATTATCCCCTCAAGCACCATTTTGGCCTGACTACATCCCTTTACAATACGGCAAAGCTCGAGCACAAGCATGTCAAATAACACGCAACACCAAGCGGAAAATCCTTATTTTTGCACCAAGCCAGTTACAAGCTTAAGTGGGCCCAAGCCATGCAAATGCTTGGGGCTAGTTGAGTGGGTTGTGGTATGGATGGTTATGAGTATTCACAAGGCCCATTGATGGTCAAAGGAGTGGAAGTTTTAGGCTGTCTGGGAGCACCAAAACTCAAGCCCATTTCTTGAGCTCAAACATATTTACGCATGAGAGAGAAAACCCAATACCTTAGGAAAATATCCAATGGCCTGTAACACTTGGAAATATCCCACATCAGTCAAAATGTCCAACACCTTGTCAAAACCAAAGCAAATCCACGCAGATAGGCTGCTTCTAGCAGCTTGACAAAACTAAGGCAAACTTACAGGCTGTTGGAAATAAAACACCAACGACCCAACACCTTAGAAAATAGCCTAGCCCAGCACCTTATAAAATATCCAACATTGTGGAAAATATCTAGCGCCCTTGAAAATACCTCAACCAAATCAAAACCAAGTCAAAGACAAGCCATCGTAAAAACCAAGCTAAATTACCTTTTGGACTAGCATCCTTACCCATTCTTTCCTCTGCAAGCTCTGGTGGGAAAAAAAGAAGGAAAAGCAAGAGGTGCCTTACCCAGATGTAAGCAGGAAAGTCTTGGAACCCCAAAAAGCTCCCCTCCTATGTGCTTGGGTTGGGGAGACTTCACCAAAGAGGATTGAATGGAAGAAAGTGAAGAAAAATGGAGAAGAAGACTTGATAAAATTGGGGGCTTCCAGTGCCTATAAAAGGGGGCATCCCCTACCCATCGTCTCAACACATCCAGAGCGAGTAAGCATCCTCACTCAGTGCTGGAACCTTTGATTTCAAGCCCTATTCTCCCATCTTCTACCTTTTTCTCTCCTGGCAAATCATCTAAGAGCGTGACGAAGCTTTCGACAAGCTGCTGGAAATTTACTCAAAACACCCAACTTTCCACCCTCATCTTTTCCTCTCTTCCTTCAACAAATCTTCCCAAAACTCTCTCTCCCCTTGCTTTGAACCTTTGTTTCTCACGGGAAATCCAAACTTTCTCTCTCTAATGCTAAACTCATGAATGCTCAGCTCGCATGCCACAAGCTTCTCAAGCCAAGCCAAAATATTGATCTGTAAGCAGCTGTTTGTTTTGTTGGTGAAAGAAACCAAAATACTTCCTAAGGCTCCACGAACCTTTCGAAGCACTCTTGGGGCCTAATTCTTGAACTCAGACATAGGGGCAACTCCACTCATTTACTCTTTACAATAGCCCGAACCCATCTGTAACTGCTGGAACAAAAAAGCCCCTACACTTTGATTATAAGATAAGCATATATGTCATATGTACTGATTAGATATCGAGTCCAAAGTTGTTTAATTAATATGTAGTTGATATGTTTAATTAATTAAGGACCCAAGTAATTTCCCTAAAATGAAAGACATCAAATATATGTTTATGATTAAATATATATATAAACAATGACATTAGATGTCAAAGATTGAGGAAAAAATAATGTTAACTGGACCGGGCTCGGGCCATGCTTGAAGCAGGCTTGGGCTCGGGCCGTGCTTGAAGCGAGCTTGGGCTAAGCTTGACCCATATTGGCAGGGGCGGATCCACATAGGTGCAAGGGTGGTCAATTGACCCCTGCAACCTCTGAAATCCTCCATTAGAGCAGCCACACTTGACCCTTGCAAGGTGTTTGACGAAATGCCCCAAAGGGGCAACCTGTGTGCAGCTGGAGAAGAAGCGCAGCGCGCACCTTCTTGTTTTTTTTGTTCGATCGACGTCAAAACAACGTCGTTCTACTTAAGTTTTTTATTTTTTTATAACCTGGCCAAAACGACGTCATTTTGGCACAGGTTTTTTTTTTATTTAAAAAAAACGCAGCTTGCTGCTCTGCTTTTACCCGATAATTCCCCCCAACCCAAATGAGGTTTAACTCATTTCTCACCTCTCAACTTCTCAACCCTAAATCCCCAACTCAACCTTCACTTCCTTCCCCCACAAATCTGGCCGCGGAGGCTACAAAGTGGCGGCGGCGCAGCAACAAATTACATAAGTGACCCCCAAATTCAATTTGATTTCAATTTATCCCTCAAATTTGAAAGTAAGTTATCCTAATTTCTTTATGCTTTAATTAATTAGTAACATTGCTATATGTTTGTGTTTTTCTTGATTAGTTATTGTTGTTTGTTGTTGAGGTTTTATTTTGGTTTGTTACTTTGAATAAATTAGCGCTATTCTTTTATGTTAGTTTGAATAAATTAGGGAAATTTGTTTTGGTTAGTTAGTTTGAATAAATTAGGGATTTACTTTTATGTTAGATTATATTTTGGTAAATTTGATTAGTTCTTGGTTAGTTTGAATAAATTAGGGGCTTTGGTTTTGGTTAGTTAGTTTGAATAAATTAGGGATTTACTTTTATGTTAGATTATATTTTGGTAAATTTGATTAGTTGTTGAGATTTTATTTTGGTTAGTTTGCATAAGTTATGGGTTTTTTTTTATTGTTGATGCTTGATTGGTTATTTCTACCAATACAATTATGGAACTCTACTTTAAGAGAAAGTTCGCATCAACTACTTCTAGTTCGGATAATGTAGGTTGTTCGAGTTCGAGAGATGTGGGTATTTCAAGAGATGTGGATAGTTCGAAAGAAAGTGAGGTGCAAGATATCTTCGCTAATCTTATTGTAGACCCTGGACTTCGACTTCAAATGTTGGATTATGATCTTAACATTCGGGACGAAGTTCAAAGAGCATATCTACAAAAGGGTCCATGTCAGCCTAAGGATCACACATTTCCACAGACTAATCTTTCAGGGTATGATCGACGATTTAATGTCAAGTGGTTTGATGAGTTTGACTGGTTGGAGTACAATTTTAGTAAAGATACTGAATTTTTCCTTTATTGTTATCTCTTCAAATTCAATTTCAGAATTGGTCAAGTGTGTAGCGACGCCTTCACAGAGATGGGTTTTAGGAATCAGAAGAAGAAAGATAAAATTAGGCAACATGTTGGAGTTGTTGGGAGTGTTCATAATCAATCTCGACAATATTGTGTGGATCTTATGAATCAAAAGAAACACATCCGAACAGTTTTGATAAAGCAATTAGAGCAAGCTCGTATTGATTATCGTATTTGCTTAACATCTTCTCTTGATTGTGTGAGATTTTTGTTAAGGCAAGGTTTTCCTTTTTGTGGGCATAATGAGAGTGACACTTCAAGCATCAAGGGGAATTATTTGGAGCTCTTACAATTTCTTGCTAATCATGATGAGAAAGTTAAAGTCGTTGTGTTAGAAAATGCTCCCGGGAATCTCAAGTTAATAGCTCAAACAATTTAAAAAGATCTTGTGAATGCTTGTGCCACTGAAACTATTAAGAAAATCATTAAGGATATGGATGGTGCATTCTTCTCTTTATTAGTTGATGAATCGCATGATGTGTTAGTAAAAGAACAGATGGCGGTGGTGTTTCGTTATGTATACAAAAGTGGGGATGTAATTGAGAGGTTTGTGGGCATTCAACATGTTAGCGACACTACATCAAACTCACTCAAGGAGGCTATTGACACATTGTTTTCAAGAGTGGAATTGAGCATTTCCATGCTAAGAGAACAAGGATATGATGGAGCTAGTAATATGAAGGGTGAGTTCAATGGTCTTAAAACACAGATTTTGAGAGAAAATTCTTGCGCCTATTATATTCATTGTTTTGCACATCAACTTCAATTAGCTCTTGTGGCCGTGACAAAGGGAAATGTTGATATTTCCACTTTCTTCACATATTGCAATAGCTTGGTTAATATTATTGGAGTATCGTGTAAGTGTCGTGACATGCTTAGAGATCAACTACAAAAGGATATTACGGAAGCTTTTGAAAAAGATACTTTTCCAACAGGGCGAGGCTTAAATCAAGAAACTTGTCTCAAGCGTCCTGGTGATACACGTTGGAACTCACATTATGGTACATTACTTAGTATCATCTCCATGTTTAAATCTTTGGTTAAAGTGCTTAAATTGATTATTGAGGATGGCTCCACTGATAATCTAGGTAAAGCAAACAGGTCATTGAGAGAAATACAATCTTTTGAGTTCGTATTTCATTTATTTTTCATGAGATCTATATTGGGAGCCACAAATGACTTGTCACAAGCATTACAAAGGAAAGACCAAGACATTGGGAATGCAATGACTTTAGTCAAAGTTTGCAAGGAACAACTACAACACATGAGAGAGAATGCATTTGAAGCCTTGCTTGATCAAGTATCTTCCTTTTGTGTCAAACATGATATCTTGGTTCCAAACATGGATGATGCATATGTAGCTCAATGGAGATAACATCGAAGAGCTCCTAGAATAACACACCTCCATCATTATCGTGTGGACATCTTTATTCAAATCATTGAGTGGCAACTTGCGGAATTAAATCATCGCTTTAGTGAGGTAAATACTGAGTTACTTCTTTGTTTGACATGTTTGAGTCCGGATGATTCATTCATAGCTTTTGACAAACAAAAGCTACTTCATTTTGTTGAATTTTATCCTCAAGATTTTAATCCCCGAGATCTCTTGGCACTTGAAGATCAACTTGATATTTATATTAATCATATGCGTACGATGACCGATTTTTCTCAATTGAAAGGGATTAGTAAACTTGCAAGAAAAATGGTGGAAAAAGGGTTGCATAGAACATATAATTATGTTTATTTGTTTCTCACATTAGCCTTAATTTTACTGATTGCAACTGCTTCTGTGGATAGAGCATTTTCTGCTATAAATATTGTGAAAGGTCCACTTCGCAACAGAATGGGAGATCAATGGTTAAGTGATAGCTTACTTGTTTATATTGAGAAAGATGTGTTTGCTTGTATTGATAATGAAACTATAATGCTACGTTTTCATAATATGAAAACTCGTCGTAGACAATTGTACTGTGGGTTTTTCTATTAATTATGAATTATAATATTATCGTTTCATTTTTATGGGAATATTTTGTATAATTTTTTTTTAACCTTTAGAGGTTGACCCCTAGAAGGAAATTTCCTGGATTCGCTACTGCATATTGGATCACGGGCCGGCCCAGTCCATTGAACCTCATTTTTTGATACCGGCTCAGCCTAAGTTTTCGTGCCATGCCGAGCACGACCCACTAATATTTGTGCTCGTGCCGTGCCGTGCCTTATTTAAACAGGCTGGACTCATGCTGTGCTGGGCCTGCCCGTCCCGTTTGACACCTCTACGCACAGCTACAGCCACAGCCAACACCTCCTCCTCATCCCATTCACCAAACCACTTATCAGACTCTCCCCCACCCGAAACCCCCTACCTTCCCTAACCCATCCACGCCTCGCCACCTTCACCCGCAGACTTCATCTCGAGATCCCCTGAGCTCATCTCTCGCCACCTCCAGCTCTGCCTAACCCCAAGATATTGGCCCTGCACCTGTATCTTGATTTAATCTTTCTGACAAAAACAAAAACAAAAACAAAAGGTGATGTGTTTAGTTTTGCTTAAGAAGCACATACCCATTTCCCACGCCACCTATCTCGCCGCCCCGAGTTGATTCGTCGGAAAAACTAGTAAAATTCTAAAAATTTCCCATCTACTCTTTGATTTCAATGTTTGGGTTTGGAAATTGAACATGTGGGTTAGTGGTTTGGTGGGTTTGGTGGGTTTATTAGTTTATGCTGAAGCTTAGGTTGGTTAATTGATGGTGGAGGTTGCAGCTAGTGTTGAAGTTGGCATAAATTAATTTTGTTATAGTACTCAAAGTATATTTGGAGATTATACCAGCTGTCTACTGATTGTTTATATCTTGATAAACAATGTGCATATTCTGCTCTGAATACTGTGAAGAATTGATTGCATTTGAATAACTTTATAGTATATGTTGTGGAAACACTTTCTTTTATTGCATTGATAATGAAAATATTATGCAATGACTTTATTACATGAAAACTAGTTTAACCCAATCATAGATGCATGGATTGCAAACATTATCGATTTATTATTAATTCCTTTTATTTATTATGATTTTGAAATTTTTTTATTCTGACTTCTTGTCCACAACTGGCCATCAGTTTCTAATTTGTTGATTTTGGTAAAATAAAGTCTCTGTTTTTGTAAAAAATGATTTCTTTGAAGATTGTTACACTATTAGCATCACCATTTTATGTGTAGATTCACTAATGTGGGTTTTAGGGGAACAAAGCTTCAAGACAGATGTTCTTATCAATGCTTTGAAATGCGAGGCGTTGATGCAAGGCGTAAACCTTTTAAACATTAATTTATTTTAATAAGAAAAATTTATGAATAATACTGTACTCATATGTGCTCTTTGATGTATACAAACACACTTTATTGGAAATACAACTTAAACTTTCGTATCTCGCGATTTGTATAACCTCCTTGCTACCACTTTCTGACATAAATGCATATCCAATGTCCATTCTGGCAGTTTTTGTCCATCACTTCATTATGAGTGACGAGGTAATTTTCATAACATGCTCCCACTTCATCACATCAAACAAATGGCAACATGAGATGCCTTCGCTTTCATATTTCTGACAGTTGCACTCTATTCGAACATCTTTCCCACGAAGGTACACACAACTCCAATTATTTCGCGGTTCACCGTATTTCACTAAAATATACAACCGTCCTCCGAAATTATGAATTATTTTTTCATGAATGAATGCTGACGAAACATTGATCTCGTTACATACCAATAAAAAGCACATGTGTGTGTAAATTTGGGAAGTATGTTGCTCAAGACTTTTCAGTGTTGTTGTAAGCACTTTTTTTGACTGTTTTCGGTGGTATGCATTCAAACAACTTAACGCATTCCCTCAAGTAATCTTTTACAAACTTGTTTATACACTCCACATATTGAGTAGTACACATACCACCGAAAAACTTGGGTCTAAGGCCTGATTTCACCCATGCATCTCGTTTTGCATATATCATTTGCAGCCATCCTTTTGTTTATGTGTAGTAACTCTGTCCTTCAAAAACTCTCATTTATTTTCAAACTCATTGACTGTAATTGGTTCCCAAAGATATGCTTGAAATGGTCGTACCAATTCTTCATCCTTTAAGTTATTCTATGCATTCCTTGCCACGTGCCATGAGCACAACCTATGATTGCACATAGGCAACACATACTCAATTGCTTTGTGCACATCGCCTCATCCTCATTCGTCAGTATTGATGTAGGCTTCTTGCCTTTCATGGAGGATACGACTGTCTCTAATAACTACCTTTATGTTCCAAAAGTCTCGTCAAGCAATAGGGCACAACCAACACTCGCTCGGTGGTTGTTTGAATCAACAAATAACACTAGAGGCTTGTCATACATATTGGTTTTGTATGTGCTGTCGAATATGAGGATGTTTCCAGAGGCAACATAATCCAAAAGTGAAGTAGAGTCTCTCCAAAATAAGTTAGCAAGCCTATTCTCCTCATCTACACTGAACTTACAAAAAAATTCAAGATCCATTGACGCTTTCGCTTTCATGTAGGCGAGTGTAGCTTCAGTGTTGTCGTTTAACAATATTTCCCTACGTGATGCATCCAACTTCTTTCTTAAGGATCCAAGTCCTCAACTCATGCATTGATGGAGGCTAAATCCTCCACCATATGCGGCAATCCCTTCCACCATAGGTAGCCTAAATGGATCATTTACAATATTAAATGGGAGTGCTCTAGAGAAGAAAAAACGATCAATCTTTCGACAAACTTCCTTTCTTTCTTTTTGTTTGTATGTTGAATTTAATGTACTTTGTCGAGCTTCTAAAGTGACAAATCTATCCATTGGTCCTTTTGATTTAGGTTGTGCTCTAAGAGCCTTATCAATAGCAACACTCCTAGTACCGAGGATTCCATATTCTTTATCTAATGAAGTTTCCATACTATGAGCCCCTCCTCATGGACCATTCCCAATCTCTCTAAGCATTTCATTTTTCTTTCTTTTATTCAAGCTGAAATTTTTTCGAAGTTGCGGTACACTATTTTTTCACATGCTCATGAACTTTCTTACATGGTTGCATACCATGATGAGTTTGACCCAAATGATGCTTAAGTCTAGAAATTTCTCCATTGCATCTTTGATCACAAAATGTGCATCTCAAGTATTTTCTCCCCTCTATTTCTTTTGCATACTTCCACGCAAGATCTTTTCGATTCATAGCTATAAAACAACACCATTAATATTTCTAAGATACAAGTATGATGCATGTATGTCAAATTTCTACTATATCACATAAATGAATAAGATAACTAATATATTGAAAAAAAAATTGAAAAAAAATTATAGGGAATTTCAAATTACAGTTGCGAAGAATTAGAGAGAAAAATAAAATGGCTTACTTGCAGTCGAAAGATGAAGAGAATTCTTGAAATTGATGAAGATTATCTGGTAAGGGTAGAAATTAGGGTTGTACTATACAATATAGGACAAACTACATAAAACCTCCCAACCTATAGGGTCATTTTCAAATTCAGATAATGCAAACCCATAAACAAGATTAATTTTTGGAACCAAATGACGAAGTTAAAATGAACATAAACTTGAAAAAGAACAGAGCCCAATGACAAATGATGCAGATAATTCATAAACTTTAAAAAGAACAGAGCCCAATGTGGCTATTAGAATGCAAAAGGGCAGATAGTTCATCAAATTTAAACATATTTGAAACAAAACCCATAAACTTGAAAAAGAACTGAGCCAAAAACATTGAAAAGAAGAATTTTCCAAGGAACAATTAAGACCCAAATCTTGAAATCTTGAAATAAAAAATGAAAGAAACTAAGTACTTACCGGCATCGACGAGCTCAAAGTCTATGTGATCAAGGGTGAGATCACCAGATAGACTGAGAAAATCATAAGTGGTGGCCCTAAGGAGTTGGTCGTGCATTTTACGGAGGTCCACTTTTAAGATAGAGGATCCCTCGGCAAAGAAATGTGTAGAAGAAGAAAGAAAGAGAGTTGGGTTTGGGGGTGGGCGACGAAGAGGGGTGGCTGAGAGGTGGGGTTGAGTCGGGAGGGAGAGAAAGGTTGGCTGGGTGGGAGAAGAGGGAGGAGATCTTTTTTTTCATTTTTTTTTCTTCATTTTTTATGATTTTAATATTATTTAAAAATTATTTTTATGATTAACTACATTTTAGTCCTTGGAGGTTTAGTGTCAGTATCGAAATGGCCTCCAAGGTTTCAATTCAATCAATTTCATACCCAACATTTCAAAGTATTACCAATTTACACCCGCCGTTACATTGACCGTCAAAGTCAGACGTTAAATGCTGACGTGGCAGTCGTGGGACCCACCTCATAACCAAACAGCAGTTAGAAAGAGACCAATATGGGACCCACCCACTAACCAATATCAAAAATTAATTTTATATAAAATAAAAAAATAAAATAAAATAAAAACTTTATAAAAAAACCTAAGAGTTGCAGACCCCAGCCCCTTCTTTTCAATCTCAACTTCGTTGGCTTCCATCCTCTCCATCTCCAACACTCTTTCTCCGTCTCCATAACCATATAATTCCCACTAAAAACAAGCTCAACTCAAATCTCCACCATTGACAGGGCAAAAAAACCCACAACCTCTCCCACAGCTAGTATCGAACCGACTCATTAATGTTAGAGGGTATTGGAGGAAATGGGAGACGTGGATAGATGCAAAAAGAGCTAGGATGGAGAGGATGGAGAGATGCAGACCCACCATGGATAGATGCAGAGATATTGGAGGAAATGGGTTATTTATGGTGGATTTTTTTAGAGTGAGATTTTTTTTAAAAAATTTTTTAAAGAAAAAAAACAAAAAGGATTTGGTTACTGTCATTTTGTTTTGTTTTGATGGTTGAGTGTGTTGTGTGTTTTGGTGATTTGGTTACGCCACCCATCCAACCACATTTTTTCGCCGCCCCTCTCACTTCAATACTTTACCCAAACAAAGCATTTCTCTCTATAATTCGAAAACAAATACATGGCGCTCTGCAACGCGTGCATCAAACTGGTGCCGATTCCGCGTTTCTGTTCGCCAGCTTCCAACGGAACCTCTATTCGCCTTCTTCAACGAGCAACAATGGATATGGGCTCTTTAGCTGGTAGATTTCGGGACTGGTCAAACCGAATGGATCACGCGTTTCTCGTGGACACGTTGGCTCTGGTTAGGGGTTTGGAGGCCAAAGGTGTGCCGACGAAGCAGGCGGAGGTGATCACAGCTACGATCACTGAAGTTCTGAACGATAGCTTGGAGAATGTGGCTCATGCTTTTGTTCCCAAAGCGGAAATGCATAATGTAAAACTGTTCTCCAACTGTTTGTTGATTTGCTTCAATGAAATTTTAGCTGAGGTGTTAGTTTAGACGTTGCACGCATTGTGTTTGATGTTTTTACGATGAATCTTGTTGTAGTGGGTGGGTCCTATATTGGTCTCTTTCTAACTGCTGTTTGGTTATGAGGTGGGTCCCACGATTGCCACGTTAACATTTAACATCTGACTTTGACGGTCAATGTCACGGCGGGTGTAAATTGGTAATACTTTGAAATGTCGGATATGAAATTGATTGAATTGAAACTTTGGGGCCCATTTCGATACTGACACTAAACCTCCAGGGACTAAAGTGTAATTATTTCTTTTTTCTTTTTTTCTTTTTTTCTCAAAGGGCAACTAAGCTGTCCGCATTAGAGAAATTCGCATTGGTCAGCCCTTTGCTTTTCTCCATGCGAATGAAGTCCAATAAACAACCTTAAGGCCCATACAATACTAGGATTGCCTGGCCCAAATCCATTGATCAAGTCAAAATTACAACTTTCCCCAGGGGGTGGACCAGGCGAAGCTGCCGAAACACTAAAACACAGAAACGACACCGTAATTTCGGATGTTAAAAGGGGCAATTTTGTCTGTCAGTCGAAAAATAAAAGAAAATACACTCGCATCAAAACCCTAGCTCCATATTCCCTCGTCATATTTAGGGTTCTTGCCTCTCTCTCTCTCTATCTGCCCCTCTCATACCAGACCCTTACTGCGGCTGCAACTCAAAATCCCAAATGGTCTCTCTCTTGCTCTAGCTCTGGCTCGCTAGTCGATTTCTCTGTTTGTTTTGTATTTAAATGTTATCGTGATCTTGTTATTGGTTTGGCTTTTTTTTTCTTTTTTTTCTTTTCTGATTTGTTTTTGGCTGCTGTGAAATGCAGGCTTCAGAGAAGAAGTTAGCGAACCCCATGAGGGAGATCAAGGTCCAGAAGCTGGTCCTAAACATCTCTGTTGGTGAGAGTGGAGATCGACTCACCAGAGCCGCTAAGGTAGCCATTGCTATCTTCACCACCCATCTCACACAAATACCATGCTACTGTACAAACACTTATAAGAAAATAGAACTTCATATTTACTGTTATAGATGGTTTATTTGTTTGTTTCTTATTTGAAGGTGTTGGAGCAACTCAGTGGGCAAACACCCGTTTTCTCCAAAGGTAACATTGCATTTTCCTGTCACCTGGTTGTCTCTTTATTGGTAACTCATTTTTGCATCCTGTAACCTTTGTATTACTACTGGATACTAGTTTGCTTTAATTGGGGTTGTTTCCCTCAAGTGCAAATGACACAGATTTATAACTAATAGTATGTAGGTGCAGAAAATGATGCTATAGTTCAGGGTTTTGGATTTCTCATTGTTTTGATTGATGGTGAAGAAGGAACACAAATAAAAAAATCTTTTAAAAATGGCTTGGTCTAACATGTAATTTTAAATTCTAAATCTTGGGTTTATGTTTCAATCTGCTGACTGCATTGTCTTGGTAAGGTTTTGGAGTGAGAAATTTTCTTGGAATACATGGAGAGTCTTCTAATTTTATTATAAATAGTAGGATGGGAGAGTCTTCTAATTTTATTATAAATAGTAGGATTGAGAGTTTTCTAATTTTATTATAAATAGTAGGATTGGAGTCTTCTAATTTTATTATAAATAGTAGGATGGAGAGTTTTCTAATTTTATTATAAATAGTAGGATGGAGGGTCTTCTAATTGTATTATAAATAGTTGGACACTGTTTGTGTATGCTCATCTGCCTGTGATTGTTTGATCAGTATACCTAAATTGTGTTTTCTTTTTTAAGATGGTTTACAATTGAAAATGTTAGACTAGTGAAAGGCTAGTTTGTGCAACAATACATTGCTTGCTTAGATGCAGAAAGTTGAATCAAGTGTGGTAGGTTTCTGACTTCTGTGCTTTTAGGCCTTCTACTTTGATATGTTAAAGTCCTTGGGTATAGCTGAAGTGATTGCTGCAGTTACCAACTCCAGTAAACTTACCCTAATACAAAAGATTTTAGCTAAAGTAATTGCTGAGGTTATGAACTCCATTTAGAGTCTTAAATACATTAGACCATCTATGCATATGGTTATATTTGTTGTATTCTTTCTTTCATCTGTTATACATTGTATTCTAATGTAATTTTCGCTTTTGCAATATATAGCAAGGTACACTGTTCGATCCTTCGGTATCAGGCGTAATGAGAAGATTGCCTGCTATGTTACTGTTAGGGGTGACAAGGCCATGCAACTTTTGGAGAGTGGATTGAAGGTGAAGGAATATGAGGATACTACTGGATACTAGTTTGCTTTAATTGGGGTTGTTTCGCTCAAGTGCAAATGACACAGATTTATACCTAATAGTATGTAGGTGCAGAAAATGATGCTATAGTTCCGGGTTTTGGATTTCTCATTGTTTTGATTGATGGTGAAGAAGGAACACAAATAAAAAAATCTTTTAAAAATGGCTTGGTCTAACATGTAATTTTAAATTCTAAATCTTGGGTTTATGTTTCATGATTGTTTATTTGTTTGTATCTATTGTCATTAGACAATTGAGTCTTAGAAAGCAACTTGAATATTAGTTTGTTTTTATTGTGTCCTGGAAGTGACTGCTACGTATGGCTTACTGATTTGTCACAGAAACTTGGGTAAATCTGACTATTGTTTTCAAAACACCGTTATTAGTTATCATTGCCGAGTACATTTATACTTTTTTGTCGCTTTTCCTGTCTCATGTGGCCAATTGGATGTTACTATCTTAGTTTGGTTGAATGTCATTCTTACTCTATCCCAATTTATTAATTATGTATTTATCATCATTCTTTTGCAGGTACGATCCTTCTACTGGTATTTATGGGATGGATTTCTTTGTTGTTTTGGAGCGTCCAGGTTACCGTGTTGGCCGTCGTCGTAGATGCAAGTCTCGTGTTGGGATCCAGCACAGGGTCACGAAGGATGATGCCATGAAATGGTTCCAGGTCAAATATGAGGGTGTGATCCTTAACAAGTCCCAGCAGCTCTCAGCTTCCTAGGTCCTTAGGATTGTGAAATTAGTTTGATCAGTCTCAATGACCCGCAAATTTCAATTTTAAGTTTTGTCAAAGCTTGAGTTAATGTTTGGTGGACCAAATTCTGTTAATTTGTTGTTTTTTGAATTATAAGTTTTTGGAATTACCCTTTAAGCTTTTGTAGTTACGGCATATGATTAGTTCCTGACTTGTCTCGAATTTTGAGTGCTCGGTACTTCACACTGCATTGAGCCTTAAAAACAAAATCTTTGAAGCTGAAAAAATTGTTAAATTGAAAGTTATTGATGGTAAAGCGATTAACAGATGGTATACTGCATCTTCTTGGAGGAAGGAAAACAGGATAAACAGATGGCATTTGAAACGATCAATATTTGGCTCCCTGAATGTTTGCCTACGCATACAAGAAATCGAAATTTCAGAGCCTCTTTGCCTTCAAGTGAGGCACGGAAGAATCCAAGGGCAACTGCATTGCTCCTATAAAATTTGTTAAAAACCAGTTTAGTTAAATTTGGATATCCAACACAACGTCTCGTCCTGAAAACTGCTTACCACTCCAGTACAGCCAAACCAATAATCAGAACAAGAAACGTCGAAACTACAAGGCTATGACTGCTCTTTGCTTTTAGGTGAAGAGACTCGAAATTGCAAGGGAAACCGAGTTATGCGAAAACAACACAGGCGGAGCGTATTCATGGAATGATAAGCTTCATGCAAGTCTCGTGTTGGGATCCAGCACAGGGTCACGAAGGATGATGCCATGAAATGGTTCCAGGTCAAATATGAGGGTGTGATCCTTAACAAGTCCCAGCAGCTCTCAGCTTCCTAGGTCCCTAGGATTGTGAAATTAGTTTGATCAGTCTCAATGACCTGCATATTTCAATTTTAAGTTTTGTCAAAGCTTGAGTTAATGTTTGGTGGACCAAATTCGGTTAATTTGTTGTTTTTTGAATTATAAGTTTTTGGAATTACCCTTTAAGCTTTTGTAGTTACGGCATATGATTAGTTCCTGACTTGTCTCGAATTTTGAGTGCTCGGTACTTCACACTGCATTGAGCCTTAAAAACAAAATCTTTGAAGCTGAAAAAATTGTTAAATTGAAAGTTATTGATGGTAAAGCGATTAACAGATGGTATACTGCATCTTCTTGGAGGAAGGAAAACAGGATAAACAGATGGCATTTGAAACGATCAATATTTGGCTCCCTGAATGTTTGCCTACGCATACAAGAAATCGAAATTTCAGAGCCTCTTTGCCTTCAAGTGAGGCACGGAAGAATCCAAGGGCAACTGCATTGCTCCTATAAAATTTGTTAAAAACCAGTTTAGTTAAATTTGGATATCCAACACAACGTCTCGTCCTGAAAACTGCTTACCACTCCAGTACAGCCAAACCAATAATCAGAACAAGAAACGTCGAAACTACAAGGCTATGACTGCTCTTTGCTTTTAGGTGAAGAGACTCGAAATTGCAAGGGAAACCGAGTTATGCGAAAACAACACAGGCGGAGCGTATTCATGGAATGATAAGCTTCTTGCCAGCATAGATTGTATCCCCTGTAAGACCATTAGCCTCTTTGATCGCATCAATGGATACCTAAGATGTACATAAAAACAAAACATATATCAAATCAAAAGCAAAACATGACTACCAAATAAAATATCATACTAGAAAGTGCAACATATTATTACTTTCAAAGGTTTTGGCAGTCATCCAACATAAATAAATTCTCACCCTCTGTTTCACTAACAAATATAATAATAAGCCATATCGTTGTGGTTACCAAACATTTCAAGTTGCTCCACCCAAGTATTTCAGAATGAGATTAATCAAATTCCAGCATTATGTTGTTTTGGTAACTAAGTAAACGTTCAACTCCGTTTTTCCGATTATTGTTCAGAAAAGAGTTTCTGAGGGTGCAAATGGCATTTGAAACGATCAATATTTGGTTCTCTGATTGTTGCCTACGCATACCAGAAATCGAAATTTCAGAGCCTCTTTGCTTTCAAGTGAGGCACGGAAGACTCCAAGGGCAACTGCATTGCTCCTATAAAATTTGTCAAAAACCAGTTTAGTTAAATTTGGATATCCAACACAACGTCTCGTCCTGAAAACTGCTTACAACTCCAGTACAGCCAAACCAATATTCAGAACAAGAAACGTCGAAACTACAAGGCTATGACCGCTCTTTGCGTTTAGGTGAAGAGACTCGAAATTGCAAGGGAAACTGAGTTATGCGAAAACAACACAAACGGAGCGTATTCATGGAATGATAAGCTTCTTGCCAGCATAGATTGTATCCCCTGTAAGACCATTAGCCTCTTTGATCGCATCAATGGATACCTAAGATGTATATAAAAACAAAACATATATCAAATCAAAAGCAAAAGATGACCACCAAATAAAAAATAGATATTTATAAAAATACCCAATCCTAGACATGTATTTATAAAAATACCGAAGTACTATTTAAACATAGAAACATACCCAAAATCAACCCCACAATCAACAATTGTATATTTTTTGGGTGTGTTTATAAATGGGTTTTGAGTGTGTGTAATGATGGGTTTTGGGTATGTTTATAAAGTGTTTTGGGTGTTGGGTATTTTTATAATTTCAGCCCCCATTTTGGGTATTTTAGTGAAACTCCCAATAAAATATCATACTAGAAAATTAAAAATAGCATCATATCATTTTGCAGTGGCAAAATTTCATACTTCAAAGTGCAACATATTATTACTTTCAAAGGTTTTGGCAGTCATCCAACATAAATAAATTCTCACCCTCTGTTTCACTAACAAATATAATAATAAGCCATATCATTGTGGTTACCAAACATTTCAAGTTGCTCCACCCAAGTATTTCAGAATGAGATCAATCAAATTCCAGCATTATGTTGTTTTGGTAACTAAGTAAACGTTCAACTCCGTTTTTCCGATTATTGTTCAGAAAAGAGTTTCTGAGGGTGCAAGTACTTAGGGGTGTTTCCACACATATTCCATATGTTTAAAGTGGTAAAGTAAGTAGGTCCTTCTATCTTTTGGTTCTCAATTATCGGCTGCACAATTGAACACCACCAGAAGTACTTCTACTCATGCAAATTTTCTCTAAGGGAAATGTAAACTTAGAGCATTATCATGTGCAATACCAAAAGAGTAAAGAGAAGATAAAGTTTACCCCATATTCTCTAGAGAGCCCACTCCAGTACAGCCAAACCAATATTCAGAACAAGAAATGTCGAAACTACAAGGCTATGACCGCTCTTTGCGTTTAGGTGAAGAGACTCGAAATTGCAAGGGAAACTGAGTTATGCGAAAACAACACAAACGGAGCGTATTCATGGAATGATAAGCTTCTTGCCAGCATAGATTGTATCCCCTGTAAGACCATTAGCCTCTTTGATCGCATCAATGGATACCTAAGATGTATATAAAAACAAAACATATATCAAATCAAAAGCAAAAGATGACCACCAAATAAAAAATAGATATTTATAAAAATACCCAATCCTAGACATGTATTTATAAAAATACCGAAGTACTATTTAAACATAGAAACATACCCAAAATCAACCCCACAATCAACAATTGTATATTTTTTGGGTGTGTTTATAAATGGGTTTTGAGTGTGTGTAATGATGGGTTTTGGGTATGTTTATAAAGTGTTTTGGGTGTTGGGTATTTTTATAATTTCAGCCCCCATTTTGGGTATTTTAGTGAAACTCCCAATAAAATATCATACTAGAAAATTAAAAATAGCATCATATCATTTTGCAGTGGCAAAATTTCATACTTCAAAGTGCAACATATTATTACTTTCAAAGGTTTTGGCAGTCATCCAACATAAATAAATTCTCACCCTCTGTTTCACTAACAAATATAATAATAAGCCATATCATTGTGGTTACCAAACATTTCAAGTTGCTCCACCCAAGTATTTCAGAATGAGATCAATCAAATTCCAGCATTATGTTGTTTTGGTAACTAAGTAAACGTTCAACTCCGTTTTTCCGATTATTGTTCAGAAAAGAGTTTCTGAGGGTGCAAGTACTTAGGGGTGTTTCCACACATATTCCATATGTTTAAAGTGGCAAAGTAAGTAGGTCCTTCTATCTTTTGGTTCTCAATTATCGGCTGCACAATTGAACACCACCAGAATTACTTCTACTCATGCAAATTTTCTCTAAGGGAAATGTAAACTTAGAGCATTATCATGTGCAATACCAAAAGAGTAAAGAGAAGATAAAGTTTACCCCATATTCTCTAGAGAGCCCCCAAAGTGTATCTCCTTTCTCAATCTCTATTGTCTTATGCGACGACTTCGGTGTGTCTGGCACATTTTGGTCCATGCTCGTAATGGTTTTCTACAATAACACCCACAAATCAAATCAATGGGCTTTCAATAAACAGCCAGAAACTTCAGAGTTTAGAGCCATGGCTTTCTCCAAACTATAATTGATGATCAAGTGCACAAGCAATGAGCAAATAGTGGCACCTTCAATGACCAATGTATCAAACAAAATCAAATTATAAGTAATGGGTTTTTCCAAAGCATAAACACTAATAAAAAAAAACCCCAATGAAACGTCACTCAATCAAGTAACAATAAAAATTCAAGAATCCAATATGCAAGCAATGAATATCACCAAAAACAAAAACCCAAAAGCAACAAAGAAATGGTGAACTACAAAATGTCAAATCGAAAATTTCACACGAAACAGGATCAAAAACAGTAAATTGCGAAATGACGTACGGGCAGAGGAGGGTGTGGTTCCTTGAGAATGGGTTGTTGTTGGGGAGGGAGAGGCTGAGGCTGAGGCTGAGGCTGAGGCTGCGAAGAAGTCAGCTGAATGGGCTGAGTTGACTCACTGTGTCGAGGAGTTTCTTCATTTCCTTTTTTGTTAAAAGGGTTTAACGTTTTGAGAATGCTGATGGCGATGCCCGAGAAGACCACCAATCCAGCAGTCTTGGCGACTGAATTGTCCTTGGAATCGCCGTCGCCAGCGGCGGAGCTTGGGTCGGCCATTGATGGTGGGTTTAGGGTTTAGAGTATTGAGCGAGAGGAGGAGGGAGGAGGGCTTTAGAGTTTGTTGGTTGGTGTTATTTTCAGGGTCGAGCCAAATTCACCAGACAGAAAGCCACCTGCTTTGGTCTTTTTCTTACTTCGGACTGAAAAAGAAAGTCTTTCAGACAAACACGCAATTATTAAGATATTTGTAATTTTGATTTTCGCAATTTTATGTTTGTTAGTTTATTAATTATTGCAATTAAGGGATCATCATGACTTAATTTCGTCCAATTTTTTCACCAGCATTTTGATAGAATGAAGTAGAATTTTGAAACCAGTAAGCTAAACCCTAGGTGTCATTTGGTGACTAGTCTTGGATTGGATACTTACAATAATTAAAGTATGTTTAAGGAAGAAATAAAAACTTCATTGACCAAATTGAAGGTAGAAGGTGGATTACTCATGGACTATGTTGCACCGATACTCTTAACTAGAGGGGTATGCTAGTATCCGATACGGGTACGATACGTATCCAATATGAACATAGAAGTATCGTTGACTTTTATGAAAGTTAGAACTTCCAATACGTTTCTGATACTTTAAGGATACGGTCCCGATACATTTCCGATACTTTAAGGGGTAATTTTGAAAATTATAAAATCTTATGGAGTCAGAGATTTGGGAACTGGCTTCTCAATGTTTTAATTTGTTTTTGTGTTGCTTTTTATTTTTATTTTTTATGGAGACTTGTATATTGTGTTTAGTTTTATGTTTTGAAGTCATGATGAATGATTATAACAGATGGATGCAATATTAATTAATTAATTTATATTATTTTAATCGCCGTATCAGTACCTGTATCCTAGTTTTCAGAGTTTTGCCATATCGACGAATCGTATCATATCGTATTGGCGTACCCATAATAGCTCATGGAGAAAAACTTATCCACTGTAATCCCCACAAAATGGTAGGATTTCTAGTTGTTTGTGTTTCATTTCTTCTCCTCTTTCCTCGTCTCTCTACTTGTGAGTCAGCAGCTCCTCCCACTCTCCATAGGTGCATTTTCTCAGAGCTATGTCTCGAATATGAGGTTTTTGTCTCCTCTACAGTTCTCTCTCATGTGGCCTACGACTACCTTTCTTTGTTGGTTCTCAATCACCACCCTTTTTGCTCCTCAGGTTTTGCGGGTGTAGCTTTCGTCAATCTCCTTGGGTGCCAGTATCAGTATGTGGTGTGGGGATGCGTTTAGAGTGTTAAATACACTAGTTCCTTGGATTATGAGAGCACATTCTGTGCGGGTGCCTTGTTCCCCCATCCTGTTTGGATCTGTGGTATGTGTTAACAGTTACTTCTTTTCAGTGATTGTGGACTTGCGATGGTGTTGCGGCCTGTGTTCTTTGGGATTGTAATTGGGCTTTCACTTTGTCTGTTGTGTGGTTTCATGTTTGGGCATCTGTTTTTTTGTTTTTTGTTTTTTTTTTTGTTTTGTTTAGATTATCTTTGGCTTGTGGCTTTCCACACTTTTGTAATGCTTTTTAATTTATTCGAATAGAATTACATTGACCAAAAAAAAGAGGAGCCCCCATATTTATTTTGTGGGTTTACAGCTTTTTCAGGTTTTATTTAGAACTTCAAAGGACTTTCTGTGACTTTAGGGGCCACAACCACTTCAGGCCTATATGTGGTTTGGCCCCTACATGTGCAGAAACACAATAAAAATATCTTAGCCAATGGATAGAGGGCGCATGGAAATGTGATCTTAAAGTAAAATATATGTATCAGAACAAAAAAATAAAAAATAAAAGTAAAATATATGTAGTAGCCCAGACTAGTCGATTCGATTCAGATCAGTTTTTCAATTAAAAATTTCTAGAGATTACAGTAACAGAATGCGCACGTGTTTGTATGTATAACCGCATATCCACCGACTGTATTCTTGTTCATGTTCCGGTTGTTGAATGCATATATGCAGGCAACGAAGACAAATAGCAAACAAATACAAAGAAGAAACGAGCATTTGAGATGCATCATTGAACAAAAGCTGTGGCAAGATTGAATCCAAGGCACAAAAGCTGCATCATAGATGAAAATTTCATAAGATTCAAATAGATTACTGTCTGGCAAAGGCACATAAAAAAGCCTTCAACAAAATCTCAAAGACCAGTGGCAGTCAGTTACTAGAACTCAAGGGCCTCTCTTAAGACGGCACACTACCATCGAAGAGAGACGGAATAAGAGTTCATTAAAAAAATTTCCACTCTATTTAACTCTCACTCCGCATCCCGAACAAGTCCACACAACTTAAAGTTACAATTTAATTCTGTATTCGGATCTTCAACTGACAACCAAAGCTTTGTAAGTAGTGATTTTCTAAATTCAATCCTTGCAGAATTGAAATCTAAAACATGCTTTTCATCTGTAGACAACAAAAGATTCCTAACTCAGCAATACAAATGACACAGAAAAAGTTAGTCCTCATCCATCCCTGCAGGCTGATCTCTCTTACTAGGGCCACCTGCTGGTTTTGCCATTATAATCTGCAACACAGAGTTTTGTCAACACAATTATTTATGATTTAAATGATAATCAACATCACATACTCTTGCAATTAGATAAATGAATTTTAACACTTAATTGATGCTAATCATCAAACCAACTTTCATGTTCTGACCAAAAAAAAAAAAAATACAAACACAGCTATTATGTCTTTCTTTTAGTCTTGTTTTGTCAAGAATGAAATCATTGAAAAGCGGCCCAACTTATATCCAATCAGTTGTGCTGAAGTGGGTATTTCTAGCAGAAGATATATTAGCAATACATTTGAAAGTCATAAATCCTTGTCTCACAATTTCAAAATCCCTCACTGTTCAATTCTTTGTAAATAGAGGTAAGCCCACATCAATCTTAATAAAGAATTATACCTACTGCAGTGACTCCATATTTAATCAATTCTGCATTTCCCAAAGGGAACTTCAAAAAATATTCATATTTGCTTCCATTGTTTGAAGTATTGGTACGAGTTTCATGGGTTTCTTATTTTAATCCAAACAAAAGCTCAAAGACGAGTTTAAAACCAGATGCACTTAGTATTTCAGTTTTCCCTCTGGTCTGAATGATTCAGTTCGAAATTAAAGTTGGGTAAAAACCCAAAAGTTATTAGTTACTTACTTGATCTACTCGTAGAACAGTGCAGGCAGCATCTGCAGCATATTTGAGAGCAAAAAACCTGTAGCAAACATCCCAAGGAAAGATCAGGCCAAAACGAAAAAAAGAAAAAAACAGCCCCGCATAGAATATGATGCCTATATCGTATATAAAACAAATTCTTAACCCAAAGTTTACTTATAAATTACAGTGATTTCAATAAGAACATTGAATTCAAATAGATGAATGAAAAACAACTATTTACAATTAATAAAACATCTGATGTGTATGAGTTTGAGATATGAACATTGCTTGGCTTACAAGTAAGGAGTCATTCCTCCTTAACTGAATCTTCACTTATTGAAAAATACCACAAACCCTTTCATATGGATGTAACTCATACAAAAACACATAATGAGAATGCATCCACTAAATTGATAGAGGATTTTAAAAAGGTTAGAATCGTCACTGCATTATCCTCAAGAAACCAACCATTTCTTGAAACCAAAACGTAAATAAAGCTTTCAAAATGGATACATAGCTACATCTATATACACGAACAGAATAATGAAGGAAAAAAAAAACACTGAATAACTGGGTTCCATGAAGTAAAGGATTTTGGCAAAAACATGAATTACAACAAATCAAGGACTTCGGGCCAAAAAACAAAAATACAAATCATGGACTAGATTAAATATTACAAATGTAAACAACTGCCTAATTATGCCCTATTATCCATATTACAACTTCACCACAATACCCCC